GCACCAGGACTATTGCTGGTAGCACTCACCGTAGCGTAGAACCTCCCACCTCCTCCAATCGTAGCACTTCTCCCCTGTTGTCTCTTAGGATCTCCTCCTTCTTCCTGTCCTTTTCCATTTTGAATCTCCAGTTTAACTCTTCTCTGGAAGATCCCAGCACCAAATACTACCAGGAGCTGCAGAGAAACATTTCTGAGTTGGTGAGTAGGTGTCTTTTCTCTCCTGTGCTCCGTGCTCCCCCCGCATCAGCCTCCAAACTGCCTGACCTGTTTGCCTCAAGCCTTATTCCCTCTCCTCTCACCCCAGTTTTTGCAGATTTATGAACAGGAAGGTTTTCTGGGCCTCTCTAACATCAAGTTCAGGTACAGTTCTGGGTGTGGACCGTGTGGAGGGGAGGAGTGGAGGTTGCCGCGGCCTTGGGGGGATTGCTGACCTGAAGCTGGGCCTGTTTCCCTGTGACCAGAGCAGGATCTGTGCTGGTGGAATCAATTCTGGCCTTCCGCAAGGGTGTCACCGACGCCCGCGCCGTGAAGACACGGTTTGAAGAGCACAGAAAGGAGCTAGCCAAATATAACCTGTCCGTTTCAGGTGTTAGCGGTGAGTCCACCGTCCCCGCCTGCCGCCCAGCACCACGCCTGCAGGGCCCCTCTCTCCAGCACCCAGGCTCCTGCTCTTCCCCAGGGTGCTGGGGGGGGAGGGTCACCTCCTTTGGGAGAAGGTTCTGACCACTACGTTTCCGTTTAGTGCAAGACGGGTCGTTCCTTTCCGCCAGCCAGTCCAGCTCTGGGGTACCTGGCTGGGGCATCGCCCTGCTGGTTCTGGTCTGTGTCCTGGTTGCACTCTCCATCCTCTACGTCATTGCCCTGGTAAGTGTTGGGTCTCCAGGCCTGACCAGAGGCCCCCTGCTGGAAGGAACCCCACGACCCCCATTATGTCCTTTCCCCAGGCTGTGTGTTGGTGCCGTCGGAAGAACTGTAGGCAGCTGGACCTCTTTCCAACCCGCGACGCCTACCACCCTATGAGCGAGTACCCCACCTACCATACCCATGGGCGCTATGTGCCGCCAGGCAGCACACACAGCCCCTATGAGGAGGTAGGAGGGTCCCCACAGGGGCAGGGAGGCAGAGCCTGGGCTGGGCAGGGCTTCTGAAAGCCCAGAGAACCTAGAAGAGGTGAGAGGCTGCGGAGGGCCCGGCAAGGGGGCGGGGTCAGAGGGGCTAGGGTCGGGGGAAGGCCTGGGGAAGGGACCTTGGGAGGAAGGGGGTCTCGGGAGAGAGCGTCCCCACGACCAGCATTTCCAAAACAGCATTCGCTGGTCTGCTGAACAGCGCCAGGGGAACCCTCCAGCAGGACTCCCGAAGGAATGAGCGCCTGTGCCTCCCCACTCAGCTCCCAGGAGTGGAGGGTCGATTTAGAAAGGCCGGCAGGAATGGGGGGTGTGTGTGGTGTGGGGGAGGAAGTCTCACCCAGCCAGGTGAGCTTGGTGCCATGGGGCTCTTGGGAGGCCCGAGGAAGCAAGCAGCCCTCCTCCTTCTTTCCTCACCTGGCCTTTCTCTCCAGGACCTAGTAAATAATTACTTCGGCCACCTAGGGCTGGAGAGCCACTGCGGGTGGGGGAGGGGAGTTTCCTTTCCTCGACCCTGTTTTCCTTCGCCCCGGAACTTCCTTGTCCCAGCTCAACAGAGACACACACACACCTGCTTGGGCTGGAGGAGCAGAGGATGGATGGAGACGGGGGCAGTAGGGGAGGACAAGGGGGCTGATGAGAGCCAAGGGGAGGGAGTGAAGGGGAGCAGAGTGGGGAGGAGCAGTCCTGGGCCCTGTTTACAGTCACTTGGCTGCCAGGCGGTTCCTGGCAGGTGCCTCCGAATTAACCCTTTGAGAGTTAGACTCCCGGACCTGGGGTGTGATCTGGGAGCCCTGGAGGCACTTTCTCCCAGGAAAGCTACCGCCTCTCAGCCTGGGTCTCCTCTCCCCACCTAGGTCTCTGCAGGCAACGGGGGCAGCGGGTTCTCTTATGTGAACCCGAACCCATCAGCCACTTCCGCCAGCTTGTAGGAGCACGTTGCCCGCCGCCACCACCGAGCTTGGGACGCCAGTGCCTCGTGCCTCCCCCAGGCTCCTCACTGCCAGAGTCCTCTCCTCTCAACTCTGTTCAGGGCTGGTGAGCTGGGAGTTCAGGCGGGCTGCTCACAAGTCCCACCAGGTCTCCCAACCGATGTCAGCCCTGCTGAAGCCCATCCGAGCCCCTTGGGGACAGGCCTGGGACGGTGGCTCCCAGGAAGCCCGGCCCAGAAAACCCTGAGATGGAAGTGCAGACCAGACCGGGGCTGAATAAAGCGGGGCCCTCCTCTGTGCTGACTGCCAACTTTGGATCTGTCATCTGTGACCCTTAGATTGGGGGGGGACAGAATGTGTGTGGGGGGGGGTTGTAAGGGGTCTTTGCGGGAGACGGGGTGGCGAAGAAGGCAAGAGTAGGGTTCATTTGGAAAGCAGGAGATGTGGAGAGGAGACGACATTGGGTCACAGGTCACCTCTTCCCATCCCTGGTGGCACAAGAGGAAGGAGGAAACGAAACTGAGTTGGTTGGAGGCCAGCATGACCTGAGGCCAGTGTGACCCAGCTCCGCCTGCACCTGCAGGGAGGGCTCTCCCCTCTCCCGGGCTGGGGGCTGGGGGCAGCGGCGCCCTCACCTCCCCTTGGCCCAGTGCCCCCAGAAGCTCTAATTTTAGCTGCCAGGGTGTGAAGTGTGTGGGCAGCGATAACAGGCAGAGTCAACATGGCCGTGATAAGCACAGCATCAGAGCCGGATGCTGGCGCCTGGTGGAGCCCCCTCTCTGGCTGGCGGGGTGTGCCCCAGGCACCCTGGGAATGGGGAAGTTGTTTTGGTTCCCTGACCCCTTTGGGCCCAGGCACAGTGCCCGCCCTTCTCACCACATGCCCTGGGGGCCTGGGCCCTGCCATGGCCAGCAGCCGCCAGGGCCATGCGCCCCCAGTAGGCCACCCATCGGCGGGGGCTTGAGCCAGAATGTGTGTGGCAGGAGGCTCAGGAGCACCTGCTTGGGACCTCCTTCCCTCAGGCGCCAGATCCCCTGAGCACCCCTGCTCTGAGCAGTAGCGGATTTCCCCAGCTCTTTCCCACGTGTCATGCCCAGCACAGAAATGAAAAGGGACGGTCGGGCTCAGGGAAGGCAGAAGTGTGCCTGGCAATGTCGTTTATTGTTTAGAAACCATGAAAAGATCGGCTGTTGCTTGGCACAGACCTGGTAGTGCCCACTGCAGGGGGTAGCAGCGGGCCCCAGAGGCCTTACCTAGCCCAACCCACTGGGGACACCCAACCTCCGCTGGGGCCCCCAGGGAGACTTGGCACGTTGGCATATAGGTGCAGGAGGGGGTGAAGCATGCAAGAGGAAGGAGGAGAAAAACAGGCATGCGGCCGAGGGCTGTGGGAACCCCAACAAGTCAAGCAGGATGACTGGGTCCTCTTCTCCTCACCAGGGAGTGCCTGGGCAGTGTCTGCCCAAAAAGTCTGCCCGCCCCAAGGCTGTAGCTCAGCATCGATGGGGCAGGGAGCTTGGCAGGGCGGAGGGCAGAGCACAGAGCTGGGGGTCATGCCCAGTGTTCCAGGTGCCTTCCCTCCCAGTCAGCCTGGGGAGGGGCACAGGACAGCAATGGGGAAGGGGCTCTCTCCGTGACTTGGGTGGGATGCCAAGGGCAGGGCGTAGGCCAGAGACTTGGTGGGGGCTGGGGCCTGGCTTAACAGGCAATGGAGAGAATGGGGGACGTCTAGAAAGGTGAGCAGGGGAGAGTCCCTTGCTCAAGAGACGGCCCCGGGAATACACAGACATAGGATAAGGGACAGGAAGACATGGTAGGAAGAGTCTGGGGAGAAGCTGCCGGAGGAATAACCCGGCTCAGCAGGCCTGGAGGGCCAGGGCCCAGGAGGGGCCAGAGACGGTCAGTCGAGCTTGGCAAAGCCCCCGATGGTGACCTTCCTCTCAGGCTTGGTGCCCACAGGCTCCTGGAGTTGCACTGCACCACCCCCAATGAAGCAGAAGGCGGGGCACACAGGCCCCGAGCAGTCCAGGGGGCACTCCAGGAGCCCGCGGAAGGACACGGCATCCAGGAAAGACACGCGGCCCCGCTCATAGTCCAGGCAGATGCCCAGGCGGGGCGGCAGGGGCACGGTGCAGCTCGCTGCGGGGCCGTCCCGCCCCGTCAGCCCTGCATTGGAGCTGGCCCCGGACCCCAGCAGGATCTTTCCCATGCCAATGGTCAGGAAAGCGAAGGGCGGGGACGCCTCCACCGTGGCATCCTCGGCACCGCTGTCGTGCCCACTGTCCGGATCGTACCTGCAGGAGCGGAGTTGGGTAGGAGAGTGTTGGGGGAGAGGGAGGGGTGGAGTACGGTGCGGGTGGGGGTGGGGGGCAGAGGGCTGAGACGTTGGAAGGATGGGACGTTGGGGAGCAAGTGGTTGAAAGGACCGATCTGGGGTACTGAGAGGACGTTTCGCGGACACGAGCATTAGAATACAGGGCTGGGCTGTGAGTCCAGGGGGACAGGGGTATTGAAAGCAGGCACCTTGGCAGGAGAGGTGACGGAGAAGGAGGGAGGGAGGTGAGGATCGGATGCTGTGAGGAGACAGGAGACAAGAAGGTGGAGAGGAGAACCACGTGGGGACATCGTGCTGGGGAGGGTCTGGGGAGGGTTCAAGAATGTTGAGGATGAGGGCTTTGTCACTGAGGGACTGGGGAGAGAAGGCTGGGTGTTGGGAGGGAGGTGGGGTGGGGGTGGGGGTGCCACAGGGTGGGGGGATTAGTGTTGGTGGGAGAGCGCTGAGAAGAAATGGGGTGTTCAGGGATAGAGTGCTGGGAGGAAGGGTTCGGGGAGGCACATGCGTTGGGGGGTGTCAAACAGCATGTTGGCGATAGACGGGATGGAGGTGGACATTTTAAGGGAAGGATCTCAGACGTGGTGAAGGGAAGAAAGAGGGGGTTGCCGAGAAAGCACGTTGGAACAGGGCGTTGGGAGATGCAGAGGCTCTTGGAGACATGGTCTGGTGGTCCTGAGGACAGGTGGGGGCAAGTGGATGGCTCCCTCTCCTGCAGCCCTCTCCCAGTCACACACTCCTCCGAAAACCAATTCTCCAAGCCCTTCTGCTAAGCCCACGCTTGCCCCGGCCACAGGCCCCAGCCTGGCATCCATGCTCCTAAACTCCCCCACTCCACCCAACCAGCATGAGCTCCCCTTGCCACCCCTATCCTGTCTCCAGCTCCCCCACCTGGACCCTCACACCCCCCACCCCCCAGAGAGGCCTGACCTGGGGCTGATCACATCGGGGGCGCCCTGGAAGCTCTCCTGAAGCTTGCTCTCCAGCCCGACGCCCACCTTGACCAAGTAGGAGGCTGGGTCGACGGCACAGGCCCAGTAGCTGCGGCCCTGGGTCACGGCCACATCTCCCAGGACCACGTCCACGCTCAGGTGGCAGCCAGTGAGCAGCCGCTCAGCAGCCAGCAGCAGGGGCAGCCCCGGGACACTCCGCACCGCTCGCTGGTCCTTGCTGATGGCCAGCCGCTCTCGGCTTGTGCCCCAGCGGCCATCGAGGAAGAAGTGCAGGACTGCAGTGGGGGAGGGGTGACAAAGGAAGGCCTTGAGGGACAAACCCAGGCCATGGAGGTCGTGAGGTGTCAGCAAAGGACACTGGGAGGTTTCAGAGTGTGAAACAAGCTGCCAAGGGATGGGCGGGGGCTCCAGGGACCAGGGCCTGGAGAACTGCAAGGGGGGACACAAGGAGAAAAGAAGGGGGTACCTCAAAGGGGCATGGGACCCCAGGAAGAGTTTTAGTGGGGACTAGTGGGCCCAGAAACCAGTCTCCCAGACCGAGCTGACCTGCAGGGCTTCCTCCCACCCCTCCTATGGCTGGCCCCCACCACCGACCTACACCTTCCAGCGCTTGCTCTGGGACTCACACCCAGCCCTTACACCCCATTGGGCGGTGATGCTCCGGTATGGTAGGTATTATACCTGCGCCCCAGGGGCCAGGCTATTTTCTGGAGAGTCGCTCTCCTAACCTCTACTGAGCCCTTGCTATGAGCTGGAAGCTCACCGGCTTCATTCTCACAACAATACCATTGCTATTATCGCTGGAGAAGAGGGACTTGGAGTTCAGAGAGGGCCCACGACTTGCCCAGAGCCACCACTGGCAAGAGGCAGAGTGGGGATTTGACCCCAGGCAGTCTAGCTCCAGAGCTGGTGAGCGTGGCCCACTGTGCTGCTCCCCAGCGCCCACCCAGCGCCAGCCGTTAGTGCGGCGAGGCGGTCCCGGCGCGCCCCGCGCCCGCCCACCTGCCCGCTCACCGGGTGCCGGGGGCGTGTGCAGGTGCACGTCTTCACTGTACTCGCCATAGCCGGCCTTGTTGCAGCCCCGGACGCGCAGCACGTACACAGAGCCTGTGTCTGGGTTCTCCAGCAGGGCACTGGTGCCCCTCACCTCCTCTCGCCGCTGCCAGCGGGCGGGACCCGGCTGGGCAGGCGCATCGGTGCGCCGGAACTCGATGGTGTAGTGCCAGGCAGGTGGCGAGTGGGGAGGCAGCCGCCAGCACAGGAATATCTGGTCGTAGGCGAAGGTGCGCTGCGTGTCGATGACGGGAGCCTCGGGCACTGTGGGAAGAGACAGCGGGGGTCAGTCAGGGCCTGGTCACGGGCCTAGCATGGAGGGCAGGCAGGAAAAGGGAAAGCAGCGGGGGCCGGGGGGGTGAGTGTGGGTGAGAGGGAACTGGGGGCGAGGCCATCTGGGTGCCGGGCAGGGAGGGGCAGGGCAGAGCCCAAGGGAGCAGGGGAGAGGCTCCGGCGCAGGGGGCGGGGAGCCTCCTGCGGGTTCTGGCGGGCCATTCTCCCAACTCCAGCCTTAGGGCAGTCGCTTCCCAAGTCTGGGCTTCAGTTTCCTCCTCTGTCAAAAACAGTCTTAGACCAGATGGGGACCCTTCTTTCTAGGACTTTTTTATTCTATGAATAAAGAGGAGCCCCAGGGAAAGGTGGGCAGAGGCCACTGGAGCCTGGGGAAAGAGCACTGGACAGGAAGGAGGGGCAGAAGAGGAGGAAGACAGATGTGAGAGCCAGCAAGGCAGAAAACAGGGGACAACAGAGGACAAGCAAAAGCTTGAAGATGGCAGGAGGCGAAGATCAAGGGGAAGAGAAGGAAAGTCCCGAGGGCAAGAATCCCAAGGACAAAAGGTCAGAAGGGCAAGGACTAGGCAGGAGCTTAGGGCAGGCAGAGAGAGTCAGAGGGCACTGATGGGGGGTAGGGGGCAGGACCAAGAGTCTGGGGAAGGCAGGACAGAGAAGGAAGCAATGAATGGGTGGCCGAGC